TAATCTTTATGGCATGTTATTTTCTGTTAATTGCTTCATATTAGTTTAATTGCTTTAGGATATTGCATTTATTTTAGGATTTGTAGCTTTTATTACACTTGTTTGGTTGTGAAGTCCTTGGAGGTTTCCAAGGCAATTAGTAACCCATTTTGCAGAGCTCTACCCTCTGCTTTGCAACATCGTCTGGGGCGCAATTCATTTCACAGACATTCTTTCCAGCCATTCTATTGGAGGTCGACCGTTAGAAAGGAGAAGGGTCATCTGGAAAATCCTATTTTCTTGTTTTTAGACAAAGCAAGTGACACGCCTAACATTCAACTCACGTGGTAAAGGTCGGCTGAGGATTTTTTGAGGAAACAATCCTTTGTTGGCACGCCCAGTGGGACAACCAACAGGATGTATCACTTACAGTTCACAAATCCTCTGTTCATACATTCAGAGGCGTCTGGAGCCATGCCACTGAGAAAGAGTAAAGATAAAGAGCTTCAGCCAGCCCATGCTGAACATGCAAATGACAGTCCACTCCACTCCGAGGGTGAAAATGATCCCATTACTTTTCTTCCAATGTCACCTTTGGTAGAACGGTCCTATGAGAATCTAGTATTTAAAGAGAAAGAGGCAGATCGTGAGGGTGACTTTGCTAAGTCAAGTAATATGTTTAGAGGTATGATAGATCGTCTGGATATAGCATTCAAAGAAAAGAACCAGACTATGTAGAGACTTGTTGAGAGTCAAGCAGAGTCTGCCAGACGTCAGGAAGAGATAATCAGACAATGTATGGAAGACATGAGACTGGTCTTTGAAAAAGGCACTAGGGTGATGCGAAAAACTGGAGAAGAAAGTCACAGAACACTGCAGGCTGTTTCAGAACAAGTGGTTGAGCCAGTGCGACAGCCCAAACCTGAGATCCTTCCTCCAGCCGTTGAAATGCCCAGACAGATTCAGGAAACCCCAATCCCAACACTCGGGGGGCAAGGGAATCAGTCTCATCCCAATATTCAACAGTAGCATTTTGTCATTGGTGAAGGGCAAAGACAACACCAATTGATGGAGGCTGCTACTCCTGTTGCAGACCATGGCCATCAACCTCAGCATAAGTATATTCTGCTAGCTAGGAAAGGAAATGTGGGTCCTCGTCATCAACCTTGTCCAAGGGACTTTTTCCAGCCACAAGTTCCTCCAGCCCAGCCGGAACAGCGTGGTCTGCAGAATCAACCAACTCAATTCTTCAATAGAGACCATGGGCTAGCCTTGAGGCCATTGGAAAAGATTGATAAGGACATGTTGAGATTTCCAAACAAAGCGAAGGAGACCATGGAAGTAGATGCAGACCCTTTTCCAGCTATGTCTGTCGGCGTGAGTGTTGCAGAACTCAGGAGTGTTGTCAGAAATCATAGTCTGCCTTATGCTCAAAGGAACCTTGCTGCAGAAGACTTGAGGTGGGTGCTTGAGGCAAAGAGATCCAGACATAGCAGGAGCGTCAGGTCAGACCAGTAGAGGCTCGGGGGGCAAGGAAGGATCATTATGACCAGGAACTTCAGCCGAGAAGGTGCCAGACGTTACTCAACTGGTACTAAGTCTCCAAGGATGGTCAACCTGCCACTCAGGTCACCTTCCAGACGGTGGGAGAAAGTCAGTCATCCCAAGTTTCCAGCCCAAAATCCCAGAACCTTGAGGCGCAGACTGCAGCGCAAGAGGGCTGAAGAGCGAAAAAGGCACCAGAAGCAGGTGGAGGCTGAGGGAAGTTCATCTCGCAGACCACACCAACCTACCAAAAGGAATATGATTTGGGTGAGAAAAGAGAAAAAGGAGGCTGTAACCCAAACTCTACAGAAGAAGGATGACCAATCTTCAGCCTCTCCAAAGGTGGCGTCTGTCATTGTGAGTCCAGACGGAGTTTTGAAAGCAACTTTTGAAGCACAAGAACAGTCTGGGAATCATGGAGCTGAATCAAAAGAAGATGGCACTATTCATTTTGGGGAATTCTCAGTGAATTTGTCATGTCTGGTGCTGACATTACCCTTGATTTTCCAAGCCAAGAAAGAGGAGGAACCAATCGTATGTGAGTTCCCAGAACAGACTGAAGAAGAGGTAATTGTTGTTCCAGCTCAGGACGATGAAGAGGAGGACATGGCTGACAAAATTGTGTTTGAAAAACCAGAAGAAAAGATGGCCAGACACATTAGGCCACTTTATATCAAAGCTCACATGGATGGGACTCCAATCAGCCGTGTCTTGGTGGATAATGGAGCTGCAATCAATGTCCTTCCAACTTGCATGCTCTACAAAATAGGCAAATCTCTTGCTGATTTAGTGCATACTGAGGTTACAATTAGTGATTTTACAGGAGGGGTGAATCATTCAAGGGGTGTGTTGCCTGTTGAATTAACAGTGGGAAATAGGACACCGATGTCTGCGTTTTTTGTGGTGGATACTGTTGCTACTTATAATGCACTTTTGGGGTGTGATTGGATTCATTCAAGTCGGTGTGTCCCTTCTTCATTTCACCAGAAACTGATTTTCTGGAATGGTGGCAAGGCTGAGGTCGTGTCTGCAGATGATAAGCCTTTTTCAGCCAACACTCACCTGGTGGAGGCTAGATATTATGAAGAAGACATTGGTACCATTCGGTTTTTTGGGATGGA